CTTCTTTGGGACCTGGCCTCAGGGGTTGGGGGGAGGACGGACCAATGACTAAAAAGGCTGGGAGCTGGGAGCCAGGGTGGGCTGTAGGCAGGTGGGTGTTACTGTCGGGCACGTGGCAGCTGGGCCAGGATCAGCGTGGCCGGGCAAGGGCGCCGGAGCAGGCAGCATGCGGAGTGGAAGCTCAAATCTGCTGTGAAACAAGTTCCGAGAAGTCGGCGACTTCTTCTTCTCCCTGAAAACACTCGAGTGGGATGCGGGCAATCCCTGCACCAGCCCTTCCCGGGGCCACGGGTGCTTTCCCCACCCGTGCCCTGGGCCCAGCTTGTGCCTCCCTGCAGCTCTCGGCATAGATAGACTCTCTGTATATAGACATCCTCTGCTTCTATGGACATAAATAGGGTCACTTTAAAAATACGTGGGCTGTCCTATGTACACTATGTACAGCGGGGTGGCAGGGGCAGGGAGCTCGTTGCCCGCGGGGGTGCCACTGTTCACGCAGGGGGGCACTAACTAACCTATGCCTAACCCTGGCCCTGCCCGGAGGAGCTGGGGAATGCCCAGGACCCTGAGGCCTGGCGCACAGAGGCTCCGCCAGGGCCCGGGACAGCTGGCAGACCCCGGGGCAGAGGCCCGGTGGTGCAGGCTGGAGGGGCCAAGCTGAGGCTGGGAGCCAGGCCCAGCTGCCCAGGACAGAGGGCATCCAGGCCTTGGCTGGGACAGCAGGGGCCAGGGCTGAGCAGAAGCAGCGCCATGCGGGGGGCTGGCTGGGCCTTGCGTGGGCATGGGGCAGACTCACTCCCTGGGGGTGCCGGCACACAGGGCGGGCACAGGTGTGTGCACGGGCACCATGTGCACCTGGAGCCGGCCCCGAGCTGCCAGCCCTGCCGTGCACAGGCCATGGAGTGCCCACTGCCCAGCCCCGAAGCCAAGGAGGCAGCCGTGGGGAGCCAGAGGGGTCTTGGCCCAGCCGCCACTTTCCCCCAGGCCAAGGAACCAGCTGCGGGGAAGCAACGGTGCTCTCAGCCCAGAGCCAGGCCCTGCCCATCCCCAGCAGCCCCCTCCAAACTGGTGCACAGCGACGGCCATGTGGCTGGGCCCTGCTCCCTGGCTCAGGCTGCTGCGGGCCAGGGGGTGCCAGCGAGGAGAGCATGCTGGTGGCCGCGCCGTCCCCCTCGGCCCCGCCTGGGACAGGTGGCGCGGCGTGGCGCAGCAACAGGAGGGCGCAGGCAGGGGCAGGCGACTCCCTGTCGGGCGGTGCTGAGTCCGAGGTCCTGCGTGTCCTTATGTACAAGCGGCGACAGCCGTGCGGCAGCGGGGGCGGGGCGGGGCGGGGGCGGCTGCTCCTGGAAGCTCTGGTGCTGCAGTTCGCGTGGCGCGAGGCCGGGGCGCGGTGGC